TTTGAATAAAAGTTCAGCTTTGTATGACGTAAACAAATTAGTGAAAAAATTAATTACTGTAAAATTGATTAAAAGTCACGCGCTGTGGCTTGTGTCACACTTGAACAAAATAAAAATAACTTATTCAAGAAACCTTTGTTTGTGGATTTAACTAAAGATGAAAACTCATTCAAGACACCTTCAATGGTGGATTTAACTAAAGATGAAAAAGCTGAAGACAATCGAAAGAGTATCCTTAAAAATGAAAAGTCTAGGAAATCGATTCTGGAACTATCAAGAGAAGGCGATACTAATGGGGCTTTAAAGAATATTACTATTAGAAGGAAAAATGTGTCACCAGTCACCAAGCATACTGAATGGATACATAACTTGTGAGTTTATTTACTTTTTCAATTAATGCGAATATTCTATTTTTTATTTTATTCTTCTAGAAACAAACGATTTGACCAAAGTGGACTTCAAAAGAAATTGAAAATTAATGATGAAAAATTGCGAGCTCAAGTTCTTAGTGACAAAAATAAAGTATTTGATGAAATTATCAATGAGAGATTATTGAAAACAGCTGCAAATAAAAGAAGTTATAGATTTAGTGGAGAGAAACCACTTGAGGTCGAAACAGTATTACCCGAATTCACTCAGAGGAAGATGCTAAAATCAATAAAGCCATGCGCTCTCCATCTCAAGAGCAGATTATTCAAAAATTTGGTTACAACATTACTGGCGCTTGTCTTTATTCACTGAGTGGCTTAAATTGGTTAAATGATAATGTCATAATTTCTATATGAAATTACTAACACAACGAGGAGCTGAACCAGGAAATCTTAAGGCAATTTTAATGTTCTTATTTTTATTATTTTTTATAATATTCTCTATATTAAATATACTTATATATTATAGGTTCATGCCATGGACAGTTTTTTCTTAGTCAATCTTCGAACTCGTGGTTACAGTTCCGTTCGTAGATGGACAAGAAAAGTGGATATATATTTTCATTTGATTTAATGCCAATTCCAGTTCACGTTAGGTGGTGTTCATTGGGTATGTTAATATTGATTTTAAACATAAAACTATAAAGTATTATGATAGTATGGGCGGGTCCAATAAAGGTGTGTTCTCGATATGGCAGAAATTATTTGAAAGAGGAGTCATTGGATAAGAAGAAAGTAACACTAGATCAAGTACCTGGACAAAGGAGACAGTAAAGGTATTGTGAATTTTACAATTATATATTTTACTGCTTAAAGACTTTAAATTTATTGTCATATAATTGGTTTAGGATATACCTCAACAAATGAATGGTTGTGACTGTGGAGTATTTTCATGTATGTTTGCGGAGTACATATGTAGAGGAGCAAAAATTAATTTTAGTCAAAATGATATGAAATATTTTAGGAGAAAAATGTGTTTGGAAATAGTCAATGGAAAATTACTAACTTAATGTTTATTAGCTTTAAACTTTTGTTTGAATAATATAATATAATTATTAGTAGAATATTATTTACTTACTTCATATGTATAAAAATATTTTAATATTTATGAATCTCTAGCAAAGTATTGTTATTATTTAATCTCATGAAGTTGTTTTTAATATTTAAGTTTTTATTAAGCCTTGATTTGCTAGCAAGTTTAATGAAATATGATGTTAATTGTACAAATGTTTAAATATATTTTTATATTTTTTTGATAAATATTTATTATTTTATTACTTTTATTAGTTAGGGATTTTCAATATAAAGTGATAGAAGTTCAATAAATGATTAAATTTTATATCAAATAATAATACAATATTTTGCAAACAATATTTTTTATAAACAATTTTTGAAGATATATTTAAGACGACGATATTTGTATTCTACAAATAAATTGATATTTACATTGGAATAAACCTGAATAAACAAAAGTAAAACCTTTTGCTTATAAGTAATCTGCAAAATATTCTTTAATAAAAATATTTCATTAAATACTAAGGAATGTTGATTACTGAAAATTATCTTTGGTTTAAGTTGAGAATTCACTATGTGATAAAATTTGAATAATTTATAACTTAGCTTTGAGCCTGCTCAATTCAAATATAGGTAACCATCAAATACAAAAGTTTTGCTTAGTTTTTATAATATTTCATAAAATATATAGTATTTTCTGTGCAAAACAATTTTTGAATAAATTCACACACTACTCAATGTGTATATGTAAATTTATAAATACAAAATGTTTAAATATTAAGTACTTAAATTTTAATATTTATATAATATAATAAAATTTATCTGGTTAAAGGACGGTGCGTTTTTATATCATTTTTGTGTTGTGCAGTTTTTTTCAACATTTTGAATGCGATCGATGGAATTATTTTGTTACTCAAATACCACTCACTAGGTTTCTATAAAATAAGTAAAACAGTACCATTATTATTATCAACATTATGAATAATAATAGAATACGAAGCGGAAGTCTAATCATTCATAAAAGATTTCTAACAGTCAAAAAATTTAAATATATATTTAACATCAAATTATCTAGCTTGAAAATCTAGTTCTACATATACTATATTTAATTCTACATTTGATATCTACTTATAATTTCTATTTTAACATTGGCAATCCTAGAAATAAATATACAAAATTTTACTCGCCCTAATAATTAATGCTTTCTGGTTTCGTTCCTGATATAATCGAATTTAATATCATTATTTTTATACACGTAAATTTGCAACTTTAATAAAATTGGAAGAGAATGTAAAGTTCAACAAAACAACTAATTCTATTTGAAAATCAATTGTTTATAACGCTACTTAGAAGCTCATTCTAAAATCTAAAACGAAATTTCATTCGAATTTAAAATTTTACATGCGATATTCTTATAAGAATATCTGTGCGCTCCGATATTTTTTAATTGCCAAAGTGATTGGGCATATATGAAGTAAACATACAATAACACTACCATCAATTACAAATGTCTTTATATAAATCCACTTAAAAGATTATTATATATTGAGTTACCCTAACACTCGTCTGATGTGAAATGGATATCCACCCTTGCTTCGGGTTGTGTTAGCAAGCGCCTTCTATTAGGTCGGTGAAGCTGTTCTGGTTCTGAATCCATTTCTTCTGATGGTTCTATATCTGCTTCCTGAAATTCAACTGTTCCTTTTCGGTATCATTAGGAGTAGGACTTAAATCTTCAGTTTTTTTAGATGCCTCGGAAGTCGTCGCTTCCTTTGATGCATCAGTTGTAATGAACGGCGCTGATTTATTTTCGAACAGCAATTCACTGTCTGTATTTACCTTGGAATCATTGGAATTCAGTATTTCGATTTAGGGTCAATTTCTTGCGTTTGAGTTTTTGTTTGCATAGATGGTGCATTTGTTGGTTCTTTGAAGTTTTTGGTTGTAATTACAAACTTGATGAAAATACGCTCGGTTCGGTGAATGTGAGTTCGACAACTTTATGTTCAGATATTTTTTTCTTATCTTGTTTCTGCACATTGAGAGGTTTTCTTCATCATCGTTTAAAATCATGTTGTCTTCAATTTCCTTATCGCTTACAATTGGTGCTATCACAACATTATCGCTCGTGGTTTTTTCTTCTCCGAAATAGTATCATTCAATTCCAAAACATCTATGACCGTGCCATTTTTAACAATACTATACGAACTTTCTTTTAACAAAACAATATCAGTATCAATCGGTAAAATATTTTGAGAAGTCGTTGTGCTAGAAGCTGCATTTTCAGTAGTTTCAGAAGCCATTTCTAAGTTAACTGCACTGCTTGCACTTGCACTTTCATCTATAGGCGTGGTATGCGGTTGTTTATTATCTACTACGATGTGACCCTTTGGCAAATGTCCCAGTAATTTCATTTCGGCTGTATGATCATCTGCTTCAGTGCTGACCCAATCCATAGATTTCGAATCTGATCTTGCATGTACCATTGGGGGTTTGATGCCCCGTTGATCGGGTTGCAAAGGGGCGTTGAATTGACTACTAATCTGTGCTTCGGAGGTGGTTATAACTTGATCTTTCTCTGGTTCTGTGGATACAGTATTTGGAGTTGCGGATTCGCTAATGCTGTTAACAGTTTCAATAACATCGATTTCTGTATCCGTGGCTTCGGAAGTTGGCGTGCTGTCCACGACGAAATTTTCTATGGTGCGTTCATCTGCCATCATCATGTCGACATCGGAGTCTTCTACCAAAACGCCGTCTCGTCGTGCTGTTTCTTCTAGGGCTTCGATTTCTCATCTACAGATGTGCTACGATAAGTACTGCTCCAAGTGGCATCTGCTTCTGAAGGAGTAGCTACATCGGCTTCTCTGCGATGTCTGGTTTGAGGTCCGTCTTCGAGACTTGCGATAGAAGTATAGCGCCAAGTTTTGGGGACGGTTGGAGCCTTGGTAGTTACTTTACCGGATCCAGATGACTGAGGAATCATATTGTCTAAGATATCTCCGGCTTCTGGAACACATGCTAGCTGCTTCTCCATAGCCTTGCGGTCCTAGGGATGGTAAAAATATAATGCTAGTATTAAATCTGAACTAAAATAAAAATAATGATTTAGGTTATAGATTCATTACCTGTCTGCCTTGACAACGAACTTTTCTTAATCCATCTTCATCGAGTGGGCATTTTACTTCAAGTTGGACGGCGACTTCTTCCGGAAGGTAAGCGTACTGTATACCGGTCATAGTCGAAACAGTGCATTCTTTTGTCCAATCGGGAACTACCAATTAACGAAAAACATTACACATTTAATGTATGCGAAGAATAACTTATCATCATATCAAAATCGTCGAGTATCAAATTTTGAAAATAATAGTTAACACAATTTTTATCTTGCGGTATAGGCCTTTGTCACCTATTTGCGTATGTTATTATATTATATTTTTATTATACTAACTATATAATGATTTGTGTTTCTAGAATATTATCATGGGTTTCTGTACCTTTGAGTTCGCATACGAAAGAAGCAACTTCGGCACCGCCGCAGTGGCGTGCGTGCCATCGGTAGTCCCTTGCGGGGTCTGCAGTAGCACATAGAGGCGCCGATGTCTTAGGCAGAGCTTCAGCCCAGTAACCGTCTCCAGAAAGTGTTCGGTAAGTGCCTCTAAATCATAATTTCATTTATCATTAATAATCATATCGTAAGAGTTAAATTGAATTACAAAAATTTAGTATTTATGAATTTTTTAGTATTTAATTCTAGTCATTTATTATAGCTTTAAGTGATTTTTTTTATTTATATACCGCCACTGATTTTTTCTTAAATTTTAAATCTTTTCTTGTTTCACCTCCTATTTCGTTGAAATCATATATTTATATTTATATTTATATTTATAGATGTAGATGTATTAGATATACAATTTAAAATTTTACAATTAAATAACGAAACAACCAAATATAAAAATACAAATAAAGGAGTGCTAAACTAATTTAATTTTGAGTCTTGATTTTATGAAACTTGATATTACATCTTCGTTTAGAGCATCTTCAAAAGTTGAGGTCCTGTATATCCATTAATTTGCAGAAATTATTTAAAAGTTTAAAAGCTTTTCTGAAAAAAAAAGAGCAGTATCAGAGACGAAGAAAAATATTTCAAAGCTAAGTAATACTCAGTTATAGCCAAAAATTGCTGTATTTGTAAGATATCACATATAATCAGTAAACAATAGATATTTATGATATTAAAGGGATGGTACCACTGTATTTCTTGAAGTCAAAATTAATATATTCAGAAATATCATAAAAACTGTTGGCTTTTAGTAAATTAATCAAAACGTTGTGGAATTTATGATTGCTTAGTTGACGTATTTGTAAAGGTAATAAATTGAACAGTTGAATACCAAAACCATCAATTGAATTAAAAGTAGTATTAAGCTTAAAAGTCGATCCTTTGATAGTTCTATTTCTTGTGACATAGTGGGAATCAGACATGGAAGATAAATTAAAGTACTGGGGATTATTTTTTATAAAGAGAAGTGTAATAAGTAGGAATATGTTAGGAACGGTAAGAATGTTATACTTCTGAAAAATATTTCTACAACTTGTCATCGAGTTAAGAGAGAACATGATTCTTAATGCTCTTTTCTGTAGTTTGAAAACATGTTTTAAGTATGCTGAAAAACCCCAAAATTGAATGCCGAAGACCAAATGCGAGTAGAAGTTGGAGTAATAGATAGAAAGAAGACAATTTAAACTAATTTTAGATTTAAGCACTCTTAACATGAAACAAGTTCTGGAAAGTTTAGGTATTAATGACGAATAAATATGATTATACCAATTTAATTTTTTTTGAATTTAACAGTAATTACATCACTTAATTTTACTTTAATTTAATTATGATTTTTTGAGCTTATAAACAACCTTAAATTTTATATAAAAAACAATTTAATTTTATCAAAGGTTGTCTACTTCTAACATTTTTTGTAAATACTTAGAATAAGTTTCCTTTATTTTATTTAAATATACTTCTTACGCCGCGAAAATTTGGGAAATTATTAAGGTCCATTGATCATGTGATCGATTTTTTAAGGATTTTTGGACCCCTCCCCTCCCTTGGTGATACGTGGTGATATTCAAAATTATCCGACTTCCCCACTAAAAATCACGTGTATTTTTAGTTACGAGAAAAAAAATGTTTGGACTTAAAAAAAATCAGGTAAAAAATAAATACACGTGATATCTTACTGTACACCTCCCTCCCTCACGTGACATTTATCATCATTCTGAATCGAACACTTACACTTATACCAAATTTTCTAGGTGTAAGTAGCATTTTGCCTTAGGGCAATTTGTATGAATTTCCCGATATGTAAATTATATACATTTGGTAAATTTTATTCAATTAAATAGACATTTTCATATTATGTGAAATTGATACATGAATCTGAATCGAATGAGACCATTCATCATCATTCTAATTCGAATGCAACCAAATTTGGCTAGGTGTATGCGACATTTTGCCTTAGGGCAATTTGTATGAGTTTCCCGATATGTAAATTATATACATTTAGTGAATTTTATTCAATTAAATTGAATTTTTTATATTATGTGAAATTGATACATGAATCTGAATCGAATGAGACCATTCGGACTTCGAATTCGAATGCGACCAAATTTGGCTAGGTGTATGCGATATTTTCCCTTAGGGCAAGTTGTATGAATTTCCCGATATGTAAATTATATACATTTGGTGAATTTTGTTCAATTAAATAGAAATTTTCATATTATGTGGAATTGATACATGAATCTTATGCACCATCAAGAAAGTCTCAGCACGATGAACTAGGAAACGCGTTATTGAATAGTATATGTATATGTATATATGTATATATATATATATATATATATATATAGGATATGAGAACATTGTTTTATTAAGCTCATATCAGAAAAACAGAAACATTATGTTATACTCCGCATTATATCGTAGTTCTTACGCGAAGAACTCAGAATGGGCTCCGGCTCCATATTATGGCCCTGTAACATAAGCATCCTTTACTGTGACCATTTTTTAGGGCCGGATTACAGTATAAATACATAAGCCGATTTACAAAGGACCTTATTATGTCCTTTCCTTTGATAGTCTCGCTTGTGCTTATTATGCGACGTGTACGAAATTGTAGAATTCGCTTGCTTCTCGGGTCCTACTATGAAATGCGGTAGCTTGCTCTAAAAATAATGGAATTGAAATGTCGACAGCGGGACTTGTCGATTCAGTAATTAATTTTTCCCGTCGTCGTGCCCCCCGACCATGTCGGTTTGAATGGAACTCAGCGCTTTTAATTAATTGTCGAACACGCTGCCACGGATTAATTTTAGGAAATTAAATGAACGCGCGCACGGGTTTGATGTGACAAAACACTCGAATTTATTTTTAGAGATAAAAGTGCACCGGCGACATTGTGCGACAAACGCTCGCTTTTTGTTCTTTTTACGGAATTGCGCAATTCTTTTGTGTTGCTAAACAAAGGACTGTATACATACACCTTCGTGTCGGAGATGGTCGGAGTACTACCAAGCCAATGATAATACTGACGACTAAATAATAAAGGAATCTGATACGGACATAGCATATACATTTACCTTTCAGAATTAAAGCCCAATATTTTCACAGAAAAATATTTTTTAAAATTTTTATTTATAAATATTTTTCTTTGTTTTGTATATATGGAATGCCCCAGATTTTCAAGAGCTTTGAACCAAACCAAAATTGTTTCAATAAACACTCGCAAAAAATCAATTTTTATATACATAAAATTATAATTGATAATACCTTATGCTACCTATGTATAAGGATGCGAATACACAAAAAACAAGTCTTTCAATTATATTTTTTGATGAATTTTTATTTTAATTTTGAAACGAGAGTATAATTAAAAATATTTTGGTTTTAATAAGTTCTTAAAGAAGGGGACATTCTATATTCCCGAAACTTTATGAATATTTTTTTTGTATAAATGATTTTTTGAGAAAGAAAAGAGGATTTTAGTTCAGAAAAATAAAATCATAATATCTTGATAAGGTAATAAATATACCATTTTTATTTTTTGTAAAATTGTATAAATATTTAACATTATATTTACCTTACCTTATATTATTCTTGTTGATTTTTTATTTTTTTTAAATTTTGTATATTATTAACTTCCCCTAGAAGAAATTTATGTTTTGCAAAAAATCTAATTTGTTAATGTTTTCTCGAGTTTCAAGTCATTCTGAATTGAAAAAAAATATGTGTGTGTTTTTGATTTTTCGTCAATGTTTTCTTAAAAAACGGCTTGACCAATTTCAAAAATTTACAAGCCATTCGACTAAGGACTGTGTAATTAGCACAAAAATGTAAAAAGTTTCATGCACAGTCTTGAATCGATTTTAAAAAATCAAAAACTGTTCGGGAAAATTTTGTTTTGGAATCGCGTTGATTAGTTTTTGGTGAAGATCGGGCGGGCTGTTTCTTCGTAATCAAATGTTGAAAAAAAATTTCAACTATTTTCAAAAACTTAGTAAAAGGATAGATTTCCTAATCTGAAATAACATACTAAAAAATTATAGGCTTACAATAAGCGGTTGAATTTAAAAAATTCACTAAAATTTAAAATGGCGCCCCGCACCTAAGCGATTCTAATCAGAATCTAAGCCTTTAGGGCATTTTAATAAAATTCAACTTTAAAACCCGAAAAAGATGAATAAAATGTGTTATACAACTTAGTTTTATTTATATAATTACAGACAATATAAGTAAATTTAAAAGATATCAATTAGAAATGGCACTAAATAATTTTTAGTGAAAGTGAAAACTTTATTTCCAAAATGAACAGTTGAACTTTATACCTAAATAACCAAATTTCAAATCTTATTGATTAAGTTCATTACGTATACGTATCAGAAAGTTAATGCTACTTGCCTCAAGGCAAGATACTATTTCCAACTATTTTATTTAATTTATTACTTACGCCCATGTAAAAGCTCCATTCTTATGGCTCCTCACTAAGCCGATCCACACGTTGCTTAATATATTCTCGTGCTTCAAAAAAGCTCGTAAAGCATCATATTGCATCGAACTGTCCACTGTAATAATAAAAGTAAATCTATTAAAATTATGACTAAATGTTACTGGGTAATAAATGCATACACATGTGCATATTGCAATTGCAAGAGTGGTTAAAAGGCCATGAAACATGTGTGTCACATGCATATTTAGAAATTTATCGTGCACACCTAAAAGCACAGTAGTTGCTAATTGCAATAAATATCAAAGATGAAAGCTCTTTGGCACTTATGGTATATAGAAATATATAAATATATATATATATATATATATATATATGTATATATATATATGTGCATAATGATATAACAGCACATTCAACGTTACATTTCGGGGTTGTATGGATATATGTTCATAGCATGTGAATATCCTGAATTGTTAACGAAATTCAAATAAAACAGCTGTAAATGAGATATTCTTTGTATGTTCTGGTATTATAAATTCATGAACGAGCATAATTTAATTATTTCCATACACACAGCTCTAAATTATTTCACAGTAACCTGAATTTATATGGAACATTTGTGAGCAAATAGATATTTTTTAATTTACTTTATTAATTAAAATAATTTGTTTATAAAATATTTATGGCTAGTATATAAAATAATAAATATACAAAAAATATTAATAAACGATCAGATATTTATTTTCATGATAGTATGCATATATTGATTTAAATTCTTTCCATATTTTTCTATCCCATTTTTTGCATGAAAAACGCGTCTAAATCAGATTTTCCCATAAATCACATTATCGATTTTACATAAACTTTGCCGAAAGGCATTTGGATAAGATTACGTTATAAAACCTTCGAAGATTTTGCGTTATGTTTAAAATTTATATATTAAAGTGCCGCATATAAATTTTTCTCCTTTATTCTTGAAAATCTTCTCTCACGCCTCCTCTTGGGTTTTTAGTGGGTGTTTAACCTAATTTAACAGAGTTCTTATTATTTTTTATTCAACTTCATAAAGTTAATGGATCTTGTGCGGATGCTTTATTATCTTAGGAATGAAGTGAAGTCTTTGAGTAATAAATTTTGTAGACTGAGTGGATTATAATTTCAAAGGCAAGTGCCATCTATCTATCGTATAATATACTCAGAGAATTGTATATACGAATTTAAATAGAAATAAAAAAAATATATAAAAAAACTATAAAATGCTATAAACTGTCTGTTTTCTCCCGATCAATTTATTTGTCAGGTAAAAACAAGTAAATTTTTCATTCTTTAGCAATAAATAGAAAATACGGGACATTTTTTTGGTTTTTGTCAAAAAACATGAAATCAAAATAGATTCACGAAATGCTTGTAAAAATTCTAAGCTTGAAATTTATTTATAACGTTTATAAAATTATTATAATATTCATAATTTTCTAAGAAATGAATTACTAATTATATTATTATAAGTATATAATTAAATCAGCTTTAATATTATTCACTCAATAATTAATTCTGACAACAAGAAAAGTTTAAATGAAAAATCTCCAACTCGATCCTTGATGCAACCTGCGATGAAAATAATCATCTCTGAATTTTAAACAAGCCAAAGGTCATCCGTATAATTAAGAGTTCCATTCCTTTATTCCTTTATTAATTAAAATTGTTGAATCTTTACTTGAGATATCGTATTTATTATTCTTGAAAGATTTCCATCGGATAATATAAAGATGCGCACTGTTTGTTTGCCGAGATATAGAACATGATCTTAATTGGAGATAGAAATAAAGTTATAGACGAGGATTAAATTATATAATAAATTGATAAACAACAATGTGCTGATTAGTTTTTGGCAAAGGCAGGTCCAGCCATTTCGGAGATACGGTGCAAATAATGCAGAAAATTGAAATTGAGTTTTTGCGAGAACGGAGCATCCGACTATAATGATTCAAAAAATATTCGGTTCATATTGACGGGGAAATGTGGTGATTAGTTTTTCGCAAAGGCAGGTCCAGGTTTGGGAGACTCTGAGCTAGATGTGCAAAAAGTTGCATTCGACTAAGCAACCAATTTGAATGATTCAAAGAACTTTCTGCTTGTGTTGACGAAGCGATTGCTTTTGTGATAAAAAACTTAATTTTTTTTTGAACTTCCAATTTATTTTTAATATCAAAAATAATTCGATTTTTTTCTAGCCCTTAAGTACTTCAAATAAATGATTTAAACTTTCCAATTCAGTTTATATGATTCTTATAAATATTAGGCAATGTTCTTCATTTTAAATTTGATTGATTAAATTTTGTTTATTCACTGTTCTGTAAATGTTCTGTAAAAAAGTTACAGGATTTATAATAATCTATTTGAAATCATTTATTAATACTCAAATATTCCATAACTGTACGGAAAGTTTTAGCTATTTGCCTTAAGGCACGATGCCATACACCACTAGTTTTATTTTACAATTATATATAAAAACGCACAAATTAATAAGACGCAAATACAAATAATAAATATCAAATATATGAATCAAACAGAACTAGATGCAAATATTAGCAGTAATAATTTCGACCATCTCGCCACGAAGGTTGAATTATGACTGATTGTGAGGTACAATAAACATTTCGTATTGCACCCTCTATGGTTCCGTACCCGAAACTATTCAATTAGATAACAATTTTTGAATTTTTGAATTTTAGTATCATCTGGTAACAATTCATAGTTTTGTCCCTTTCTGACCCCAATAAAAGAGGTTCGTAATAACAACTAAAATCATTCTGAATTTGGACCTCTCGGTCGACACTACAGTCAGTGGTAAGTCTTTTAAAAAATATTTATGTATTATGTAATCATTTCGTGCATTCAGTTTCAAATACGTATCATGGAACTTGTGTTTTCGTTGATTCGATTGGACTTGATTTTCTGTTGAATTATAATTATAAGAATGTAAATATTATAAATTGAAGTAAAAATTTGTCTCTTTAAAATTAAACGATTTGCGTTACATTTTCCAATCCAATATATTTGTGCTGAAGTGTCGCCTTAGTGTTTATTGTTGTGAAAATATTTAATTTTAGCCTTTGAGTTAACATAAATAATTTAATGCAATCTTTAGATTATTAATTTTAAATATAATTAAATAATATTAAATTTTAATATAAATTTTATGTTTCAAATATTTACGATTGACTACATTTTTGTTTCAGATTTCATACAGTATTTTGCGCAGTGGCGGATTGCTTTAGGGATTTATTGTGCATGATTTTTTTTTTATTCAATCACATTGACAATTTTTAATTATTTTTTATAATTTAGTTAAATTATAATTTTGAGTTATTTGCGTCCACATTTTATTTTTTTTTTGTTCGTGCGAGGACTTATTCGTAATTTTAATATCGTTTGAAACGATTTCCGCGTTTAAATGTGTTCCTGTCGCCTACCCCCCACGGCAGGTTCTAGTAATTCGCGTTTCGTTAATAAATTATTATTATTCATTCGGTGTATGGGTCCTTGTGATGTTTTTCCCAGAAGCAACGCAACCCCATACACTTTAATTTCTAATTAGTATTATTTGTACAATGTTTAATTTTTTGGAATTATTTTATTAGTAGCATGGATGTAAATAACTCGTCTAAAAATCTAAAAACTTTGTTAAATAAATTACTTGTTTTTATTTTGACTGATTTTTCTGCTGCAATGCAATGAATATGTTTTACTTAAATGATTTAAATTTTTTGTGATTGCACAATAAGTCTCCTAAGCGGAGAAATGTTGAAGACGTACTGTTTGAAGTTAAAAAAAAAGGTAAGATGATAAATAGTGTAAAAAAATAACAAAATTGACATTTATTTTAGTGTAAATGGGCCTCGACTAAAGATACCAGGGGGTTGAGTACTACAACGAACAGGAGAACATGTGTACCGATATGATGTACCAGAGCACTGGAATAAATACGAGTAGGCTACCACATAGTATTTATAAGTCATTGTCTATTTCATTTCTTTCAAGTCACTTTTCATTTCAGGGTTGCAGAATTAATTTCTCACCGCGACGGCAAGCACCAGGACTGCTAGGAGATTGTGGTGGATTAAAAAGGTTGAAGGTACCCTTTTTGGGGTGCAATGACTGCTACTTGGTACATCTTAGCATTGCGTTTACCAATATACAGGGTTTACCTTGGCGCCCCAATCTGACTTTTAATAAAAACCGGTAATTATCTGTAGAGTGCGTAACTAACTACACGAATGAAACAGAATCTATACTTATTTACTTATTTAATGTTACCTAGTTGTGTTCGTCGTAGGTGCAAGATATGACTGTATTTTTGTAGTCATGTCTTAAGTCTAAATTCTGATATACTATTGTTTTGGTTAATCAAAAAGCTTGAAATTATAGATGTGTATGATACGGCGTAATGACAAAGGGGATCGCATACAATCGGAGAACCCTCACTTTTTCTGGATTGTGTGTTCTTCGCCCATGGAACAACACACGCACCACTATACACTAATTATGTACTTCCGACTTGATTGACTACCTCAGAGGACTGATACTTAAAAAGTGATTGCGTCTTTGTAACGACAGCATACAATGTTTCCAAAGAGTTGCACAACCTTTAGTGCAAACTACATCCGCCGCCCGCCCATATGGTTCCTGTCGTATGTGGTCCAGATTCGCGATAAAGACTACATACATCATTTCCAAGGAGTTTCTAAACTCCTAAACTAAATCCCCACCTGCCTATAAGGCTCCTATCGTATGAGGTCCGGAGTCGCGATCGTTTTTTAGTATCACTCCTCTCAGGTGGTCAATCCAATACGGAGGACACAAGTTAGTGCATTAGTGATGGTTGTGATGTTGTGCCAGGGAAAAAGAACACGATCTAGAAAAATCCGATCGAGTTTTCCGATTTTAAGCTTTCCCCTGCGTAATTACACCGTTCTATACATTTTTAATAATTTCTAGCTTTATCATTAACCCATCGTTAGTACATTCGAATTCAGGCTTAATGCATCACTATACATAAGTGCGGTCAAGTTCTCGGATCTGTAAACATAACTCGGTAGCAATCAATAAGTTGGTAAGTAGATTCTGTTTTAATTGTGTAGTTAGTTAAAATCTCCACTGCTAACTGCAGGTTTTGTTGAGTCGAATTA